GAGACTTGGACTCTGCAAAATGACTTCCTCAACTGTGTTACTTGCAGCCTACCATTAGGGTCAAATAAAGCACGTGAGACCTCTCTCATGACTTTACTGCTACTTAAGTTGAGTATTAGAACTTTTGAGCTCAAAGCATCCTTGGAAATTTTCTTGGCTCACACTTTCAAATTATATGGGAGAAACTGAGGTCCAGAGAGCTTAAGTGAACTGCCCGAGGTCAACCATCGGCAGGATCTAGAAGCCAGGTCAGAGCTATTTTAATTGTATCAGGTAGCCCGACACAATACTTTATGAAAAGGAATTTTATTACGATTAAAGCATGGCTTTTGTGTTAAAGTCCAGAGAACAAATATAATAATTACCTTTAATTACCAATTCGTTCTTATATATCGTGAGCTATCTAGATACACAAACACTATTTGATCCCTTCTTTATCCCTATTTTACATATCAGGAAGCTGAGGCTTGAAGACTTTACAATAACTTACTTCATGTTACATCGCCAAGAAGTGATAGAGCCATAGCTGAAATCTGCTTTTCTCTTCAAGACTTGAGCTCCTCACTTTCCATGGCACCTCTGTGGGGTGCTTTTGTTTTAAGCCGCAGAAATCACAACAAACTGGTGTAAATTATGAGAAAGATTTATTGGGGCAAGGGCTTGAAAAGGGGAAGTGTGACTTCAAGCGTCATTCAGTCAGTGCCCTGTGATCCCTCGGTCTGGCTTGTTCGTGAAGATCTCAGGCTGACTTCACGTAGGTCACATGTCCTCATCCGCATCTAGGAAGGGCAAAGGTGAAACTAAACCATCTATCAAACAAATGTCCTGATCCTGGGCTCTGTTTGGACCAATCCCTGGGCTGATCCAAAGGCTGGGGATGGAATTAATCCTCAGAACCCATCCCTAGAGCCAGGAGTGAGGTTAATGCACCCAAGGTGAACTGTTGTCACACAAGAGATGGAAGGAGTGTCCCCTTGGGAAAGGGAAATACGGGGGCTGTTAGAAAAAGAAGGGAAGAATAAATAGTTTGCAGGCAACCAATGCATTTACTTAACCACCTATGTATTCACATCATGTTTATTTAATTGATAGGGTCGAAGACATACAACTGGCACCATAAACCTCTGTCAAAGTGCCCTTGACCACTTGCTATATGGCGGCAGGGGAAGAATTGCTAAGACGCATTATGCACACCAATGTTCAACAAGCATTTCTGGATTCTTGCCTGCACTTCAGGCATTATTAAACGAATAGGTATCAGCCTATCAAGGCAGGACCTTCCTACAAGGTATGCGAGCTCTTCCTGGAGGCTAAATCTGCACTTTCCGGGGAGAAAGTAAAGGGACCGACAGTGATGCGGTCCTGGCCTTTATAACCCAAACTCAACCCTCTCGGCCCAGTGTCAAGACCGCAGACATCCCCGCCACGCGCTCTTGGAATAGCGCTCATCACAACACATTGTGATGACTGCTACATGTCTGACATCTCCAGAGACCTCGGGCTCCTCAGGGAAGGACCAGTTTTCACCCATCTTTGGCTCTCAGCCTGGAGTAGCATCTCACCCATGGAGGCGAACGACTACCACCGAAGGAGCAGTGCCAGCTCTGAAGGGAGGGCTGGCTCGAGCCCCTGGAATACTGGGGAACCAGTGAGTTCTGAACCTCCTCTTCAACGAGATGAGAAAGTTAATATCTGCCCCCATAGAACTACTGGAACAGCATGTTATAAAATGGGAAGTGAAGAAAGTGTTACCTCTTTCCATTTTTCATTCATTCTAAGATGCACATTTTCTCATATTTTAACATCTCTGAAACTAAGATCCATTCGTGCAATGCACTGAATGTTTGTGTGTCCCCCCAAATTCATATGTTGAAACCTAATGCCCAAGGTGATGGGATAAGGAGGCGGGGCCTTTGGGAGGTGATTAGGTCAGGAGGGTGGAGTCTCATGAATAGGACCAGTGCTCTCATAAAAGAGACCCCGCAGAACTCCCTAGCCCCTTTTGCCATGTGATGTGAGTCCCAGAAGGCACTGTCTATGAACCAGGAAGCAGGCTGTCACCAGACACCAAATCTGCCAGCACCCTGACCTTGGATTTCCCAGCCTCCAAACACGTGAGGAAAAAATGTCTGTTATTTACAAGCCGCCCAGTACACGCGTTTCGTTAGAGCAGACGGGAACGACCCTGTGATCCACGTGTAAGTATGCACCATACTTTAAATGATAGTGTTTTGCCTTATGTCTTAGGTATTGTATCTTAGTATTACATAAAATAATGGTGAATCTCACAGTCAAAAGTGGTCTTTATCAACAAAATATGATATCGTTATCCATGCAGCATTCTGCCTCTGACAAATGTCCCCAAATCTGCTTAAGAATCAACTGTTCTATTTATCGACCTCGAGAGAGTCCTTTACACCCCTCGCAGGATACAGGATAGGACAGCATCCCTATCCATTTTATATTTTAAAATGTACCCAAATCTTTTTGAAAATTGTTTGTATTTAGTATGGCCCTTAATCTTACTTGTTTTTATTTTCCATTACCAAGCTTGAAAGATGAAATCTGCACTGTTTGGAAAGAGCAATTTTAGTTCTGGTCCCATTTCGCCACTAATTAGCTACATGTCTAATCTCTGTCATCTGCAAAACTGGGGTGCCAATATTTTCTTCACAGTTACACGAGGTCAAACACGATCACATATGTGGATGTCCTCTAAAATTACTGCACCCTGGAATCTGACGAACGGCGTCTGTTCTCCTCTGTAATTTCGCCCATCTTGGACAGCTTCCAAAGACAACACTTCAGAAGAATGAGTGTCTTTTAAGGTGCATTTGATTACTTCCTATATTCGCCCACATGATCACGGACATGGTTTCTGTTCTCGAAACATCTACAAGACATGGAAAACAAAGTGGCTAATTGTTACATGTGACTGGACCCAGTTTCCAGTAAGAATGTGAACTCCCTTGCTTTAAATGTCAGTGTCACCCTGACTTTGCTAGGGCCACTAAGGGAGCCTGATCTTGAGGTTTTCAAGACAGTGTAAGCTTTAAGTTCAGATTGTGTTTATTTTCCCAATGCGACTTACCAGAGCCAAACCCCTTTCTATGTTAGGCATTCAAGTAGTAATGATTTATTTGTGGTTTTGTTTCTTCTTCATTTTAACTTTGTGTTTTCCCCTTGCTTTGCTCACTATTGAAACTCAGTTTGTTTTTTACTTGGTTTTAGGCTTAAATTATGGAGTGGGAGCGGGGCAAACATCAGGAAACTAAGTTTTTTAGCGACACTTTGTGCTCAGTTTACACACACCATCTTGTTCCTCTCGACATCTCACAGGAATCTGAAAAGGCTTCGTGTTCTGAGTTTGAGGCGAGGACAATGAGGTGATCTGTCAGCGATGGCGGAATCAGAACCGAACCCAAACCTCCTGAGCACAGACCCCCGACTTTTTTGTTTTTGATTTTTTAGTTTTGGTTTTGTCTGGGGAGAAGAAGAAAAAGAGTGAAAAAAAAGAAGCATTTGAGCAAGCATTTGGCATTCTATTTTTAATTCTCTTAAACAGGACGTCATTTTCCACTTTCTGTATGTCTTCCCTTCATGTTTTGTTCTTGTAAATGAACTAGTCAGTGAATCATTTTCCTTCACATTTTGCTCTGGAACAATTCCAGATTCTTAGGGTATTATACAGAACAAGTCCAGCTAAAGGCATTCCATAAAGCAGCAAGCCTTAGGGAAGAAGCGAGGGATAAATTACACGAATGAGCTAGTACAAAGCTGCTCATAAAACCTACAGCACAGGTAAAAGGCAGAGGGTATAATTTGCTGACAAAGGTATTTAGTACCAACTTCCAAGAACTAAAAATGTAAAAAAAAATAAAGATGCACATATCGTTTAAATTGCAAAAAGCAAGACATCTAAAAAGGAAAGCAAAAATAAATTGCCAACCCTGAGATTTATTTGTGTAAGTAATCACAAAAATTTCTTTTTGATGTCAGAGTGTGTTTTCTTTGGACAATGAGAAAAGATTATATTCTACGTCGGTCAGACTTTATCTGGGATTAGCGTTCATAAGATACAATTCTTGTATTAAATCTTTTTCATTTCACAACATTTTTGCTTATTTGTTTGTGTTTGATTATTGTTTTCCTACTTTTGTAGTAAAGTTGTTTTTTTTTTTAACCTTTGTTACTTTGTTACTTTTCTCTCTAAAGAGTAAAGGAAATTCCTCTTTGAGGAGTCTTTGTAAGGGAAGGGAAAAAGTCTCTAAATTCATCAGATTTCTTAGATTCGCAAATACAGAAAACTTCATATTCCTGGTTTCTCACAAAACCCATTATACTTTAAGGGATTTAGGAAAATAAATGTAAATGAAATTTCCAGGATTATTTTTGGTTAACGAAAAAGGGACAGAAAATAGATTTGGGGAGAAAGGCGGGAGACCAAGCGTAGGCAAAGCTGGGCAAGCACGTTATCGAAGCGGGAGCTGCTGCTGGGACCTCGCTGAGGACTCCTCCGGGGTGACTCGCGAGCAGCGCGCGGCCGAGCCCGCTGGGTGAGCTCTGTCCCTGGCTTGACAGTGGCAATGCACGCTCGCTAACGTGTCGCCGGACGTTAAAGCTGGGTTCAGGGCCAGGAGAGGTGGCCGCCGCGGCCGGGATCGCGGAGCACCTGCTTCTCCCGGGCCCGCAGGCGGGGAGCGGGGCCGGATCGCGGGGCGCAGGGAGA